TCAGTCAGAGAAACAGGACTACACTGGAAAACAGGCCGGCATATCTCCAGCATATAATAGTAGTTGGGGGGTGTAGAGGACAACATCCAGAGCTTGATATTACAAAATGTCTCAATTTTAAATACCTGAAAAACTGTGACTTCTGGATGTCGAATTTCTGCGCTAACTGTTCTAATGAGGCAAACTTAATGTCTATATAAAGATAATTTAGAAAAGTTAATCCTTTAAACTCCAAGTATTAAAAACAGAGTCCATTAGTGATTATTTGATACAGACAATAATAGTTCTGTACTTTTAAACGACCTCCTGCACTGATTCCAGAGTTTTATTGTGTGAGTTAGAAGTATAAGTTGAGATTGGTTGATTAAACGGTAACCGGGGGCCGAGTAGAGCCGTAACTGAATTCCTCTCTAGAGTTACCTAAATAGGAATAGGATTTTCCTCTCTCAACCACTACAGTAATGCTCAAATATTAGCCGCCCAGTAGTATTATAAGAAGCTGGGGAGTGACAGGCCCCTAAGGCCATGGGGTAGCTGTTCGTTATCTTCCCCGCGTGATTTTTTCCTGATCTTTTCTGTTTTTTTTGGTTCTTTGTATTTTTGGTTTTGAGCCTCTGTTACTTCATTAAATCTGCACGAACTCATCTCTGCGTTTGGGACCTCAGTCAACCTCCATCCACACGTTGAAACAAAATAATTAAAGACAAAAGAAATAAGGAGATGTATCATTTATTAACTTACTTATTTGTTTATCTTACTTAAATATTTTCACAATTTAATAGTTCAAAGTATAATATATGTATAAATACATATAAAGAAATTATATAATATTGACTTTCTAAAAATAAAATGTGTATTTTTAGGGGTCAGCAGTCGGTAATAGTAATTTTAGGGGTAACATGCTGATATGTGTGGGAATAATTTCTGTAATTCAATTTACTTTATTTCTGAGGCTATGAAGAAGTAAATCCTAATCTTCTAGTTTAATCCCAGCATCATCTCTTCCCATAGATGCACTTTTAGTTTTATTAGTGGAGCATAATAGCAATCCATCCAGTTATTATTATTGTATTTTTAAAAACATCATTTTTAAAAATATCATAAAATTAATTTTATATATATAGCTCCAATCAAAACACGCATCATCTCAAAGAGCATTACAGAGACAGTCAGTTTAATTCAACCCAGTTAGATTTGTTAAAAGTTTCCTTTCTAAGAAAATCCAGCTGGTTACGTCCAGTTGTTGCCTTTGCAGGTTTCGCTCCTCGTAAATGAACATGGAGTGACAGTAAATATTTGCCTGCTCACTGTGTCCCCCTCTGATCCCTCCAGGTTGAGAGAAAAGAGATGCAGAATAAAAATCAGAAGTAAAAGAAGATAAATGTTAAGGTTGATGAATCTGACTGGATGATCTGGTTGAACTGTAAAGTGCCTTGAGATGACTTGTGTTGTGAATTTCTATAGAAATAAACTGAATTGAATTAAGGTTTACAGTATTTAGGTTACAGCTTTAGGTTTCTTTAGTTTAAAAAAAGATGATAAAAATGGCGATAACACTCTCCACCACGAACGGTGGAGATAAGATCCCTGGATG